CTTGCCGACCCGGCTGGCGTAACATCCGATGCGGACGCTCGCGTGCGGCCCGGTCGCAGTGGCGGTCGCAGCAGGGCTTCCGGGTTCTCCACCCGGGGGCGCGGTGCGCCACTGCCACTGCGGGTGCTCAGACGCCCGGAGGCGGAGTCTCCCCCTTGATCCGGTCGGTTCATCGTCGAATACGCTTCGCGATCGACGCGGTGATTTCTCAACCTTTTCCGTCCGTACGGTTCTGCGCGCGATCGAGCGACTACGCGTGCGGCTCAACCTCAAGAGTTAACCCCTCCACAAGAGTCCCAAAATGTGGGATAACTTCTCTCCGCCGTGGGTTGGGTGAGAGGCGGAGGCTATAGCGAGGGAGCACGCCGCGTGGACGCGACGCGCTAATTGAACCGATCGGACGAGCTCGCGAAAAGGGAGTGGCTCACTGGCCGGCTACGCGCAGTCGCTCCGTAGTGCGTGAACGGGAGCGACCGGTAACGGGTTAGAAGCCAGCGCGCGCGATAGACAACCGAAACGGACGTATATAGGCGCAAAAGGGACGGGGGCGAGCTTGCCCCCGTTTACTGGTGGGGACGGGTGCCAGATCTTAACCCCGCAGAGGGACGCCTCGGACACCTGTCCCAGTACAGTAGTACAGTACCTGCCGCCTAGTGCGTGCCGGGTCCTGTACTCAATTAAAAAGGTAGCGCCATAATTACTACTACCGCACGGACGCTGCTACTGCACGTGTGCACTACTGTACACGCGTGTTGCTTACAGACCACCGCACGGACGACACGTGTGCTAACGCGCACACGTAACACGCGTAGACTACCGCTCAGACGACACGTGCACTACTGTACACGTACGCCAGATTACGACCGCTCGGCATGCGCGCGCGCTCGCTACACGTGGGCACAACCGCCCACGTGTATACCGTACACGGCCGTCCGATGACCGCCGCGCGCTCGCGCCGGTCATTATACTACAGTCCTGCCTCTTCGTCGTGAGCAGTTGCGCGTTTTGGCTGGTGCACATGTGATTATGAGCAGTGTTGGCACCTTAACGGTGGCTTTGTGGGGCCGGAAAGAGGCACAACGTGTGCTGAGACTTCAAATGCATGAGTCGTTGCACCAAACGAGAATCAGTGATTTTTTTGATAGAGTTATGATAATCCTACCTCCCCTAGTGATAAACCCCTGCATGAGGATATTGTTTTCCTTGACGGGCCGCATTCTTATTGATAGGTTACATTAGACCCTTAGTGCAGCTGGGAGGGGACTGCCAAACGTGCCAATCATGTGCTAGGGCAACGATATCAGACTGTAAACATCAAATTGATTGCATAATTTGATGGTGACAGTCGAAATGGAGAATATTCAGTTGAATCATCGCTGGTCAACATAACACCTAGCAGTACTGTGCGTCTACAGTAAAAAAAAAGTGGACAGAGACTTACGAAAAAGCCCGCCTCTTTTGGAAACATGCCGATCATTGCGCATTTAAACCGCACCCTTCCAGACAACCTCCAGACAGTACACCCCCATCTCTTCCCTCACCACACTTTCCCTTGCAGATCCCCTCTTCCCTCACCACACCTTCCCTTTCAGATCCCCTCTTCTCCTTTCGAGGCTCAACCATGCCTCCCATCACCCAGTCACAAGCCGCAACTGCCCTTCAGCTACTGGCAGATGCGGCCGTTGAACCCAACAACGAAAGAAGTCGTTACGAACAAGACCACGATGTGGAAACTGATGAGATGGTTGACTCTGAATCGCTTACATTTGACAGGTTTCATGAACAGGGTGGCTCAGCGGCAATTATCGAAATGACAAATTTCGATCCTACGCAGTTTCTCGGCTTTTGGTGTGGCTTTGGGGAATTAATCATGGCACGGTACAACACGGGCCGTGGCCAAAAATCCGTGCGCACAGGGAAGGATGTCTTGTTCATGACGTTATGCTTCATGAAGCACGGGGGTCAGTGGGACTTTCTCGCAAAAATGTTTGGTCTAAAGGGTCTCTCTTTTGAGAAGCTCATAATGAAATTTGTCGAGATCATATCACTCCCTGTGTATCAGCATTATGTTGAGGCTCAAGCTGGAAAGTGGACCATGGATAAACTGTATGAGAGCCGCCGAAATTTTCGTCACTATCCCATGGCCCTCTATGCCTCGGATGTGACGTTTATGCCCAGCTTCCGCCCGAGTGGGAGTGTAGAGGAGGGAAAGAAATATTTTAGCGGAAAACACAAGCAGTATGCCTACATGGTCGAAGTCTCGGCTTTGCCGAATGGGCTTGCTCTGTGCTGCAGTGAGCATGAACCGGGATCAGTGTCTGACCTGACCCTGTTCCAGCGCATGCAATATCTGCACAAAAAGCAGCTCAAGAAAAAAGAGGGCGACATGGACTACGACGACGATGGGACCTTGGCAGATAAGTTCGAGAGAAGCTGGGGCGTGCTGGTGGATAAGGGCTACCAGGGGGCTTCTGAGTTTTGCCGGGTCATACATCCAAAAAAGAAACCGGTAAATGGCGTGCTGACAACTTCAGAGGTGAAGGTAAATCGAATTATTTCGAGCGATCGAATTATAGTCGAGAATGTTTTTGGGCGGCTGTGCGGGTTATGGACTGTAATGAGCACAAAGTGGAAATGGAATGAGTCTTCTTATGACTAAATTTTTAAACTGTGTTTGGGCATGACAAATTTTCACATCCTTTGGTCACCGCTTCGCAAGGGCGATGGCCAGCTTTATCGACAAATATAAACCCGGCGGTATAGCATAGCAGAAAGTCAAGCAGGAAAAAGGAAGCATGTACAGGCAAAGTACATGGAAAAGAAGAGGAGGAGGATGGACATTCAATTTTGAGCTACCTGTATCCCAGACTGCCAGCCTGATAATTATTAAATGTCACCCAATTCCTACCCGCTTTCTTACTCGCAGTGCTCGCCGTCTCCCTGGTCCTCTTCGCCCCCTTGCAGTAAGAGGAGCGCATCCCCAGCTTCACCTATCTGCGCAAACGCGCCGAGAAAAGTCCCCCCGCCGCACCCTGGCCCCACGCCCCGCGCCAGCCCAACTCTTTCGGAGACACTCCTCCTTCGCAACCCGACACTCATCCATCACCATCACCCCCCTGTCCGACCCCAACCCGGTCGATGTTTCCCGACTGCCGCCGTCGGAGCACCGCCCCGCCCCGAACAACACAACCACCACCCTGAACCCGACCTCGACCCAATCGCGTGACCTGCTAGTCCTCTTGCAGTCCATATGCGCCCCAACTTGCGACAATGGTGCGAGAAAAGTGTGGTATAACTACCTTCGTCCCGACCAGTCAGAAACGAGGGGGGTTAGAGGTAAGGGAGCGCGCGCCGGTGGGTAACCCACGCGCCAACGCAGACCGTACGGATGGACTCGAAAAGAGGGAAGGCTCACGTGGCCAGTGACGCGCAGCCGGTCGGTAGTGTTAGATCCGGACGGCCGATCACGGGTTAGAAGCCTGAGACTAAAATGGAAACCGGAACGGGATATATCCCGTTCCGGTTTCCCTTTTACTATTGCTATAGCAATTAGCCGTGAAGGAAGGGGAGGCGAGTCTGCCTCCCGTTTACTGGAACGGGGCAGGTGCGTCCCGGTCTTAACCCCTAAGTGGGACGCCAGAACACCTGTCCCCCTACAGTAGCTGTTACATACTGTATACCAGCTACTGTGCTAAATTGGCTAATTTGTGCCATTAACTACTAATTACTAGTTAGCCACCGTAGGGATTATACACGTGTGCCCGTGGCCACGATCCCGGCTAACGGTTGTGCCACGTGTTACCCGTGGCTACGCCCGCTGTTACCGGCTGTCCCACGTCGGACTCTTAGGGTACTTCTGTGCACGGCGGCGGGTGCGTGTATGCCTGCTCGCTACAGTAGCATTCGCCCTCCCGCGCGGTTATCATCTCGCCGGGAGGTTGTGGTACGGAATTGTACTACAAAAGGGAGCCCTTTCTGGTGCGGGATGTGCCTAGCAGAGGCCGCCCCCTGCCTATCAGATGGGTAGATATCTCTCTATTCACGCCGTACCATATCAGAAGCGTTACCGTCTTGTTTCCGCTTCTGGCAAAAACCCTTTTGGAACCCTTTTCTTCACGTCAAAGGCTCCGCTCCGCGTGAATAACCTTCGCACTGTGCCCGTCCGCACGCCCGGTGCCGCCAACTCAAGGGCCTGTTGCGCTAACGGCGACGAGGATGACGACTCCTCCGCCAACGACCAGCCCCCAAACCCCCCCGGCGGCCGTCGCAGACGACGAAAACAAGGACGATGAGGAGCGAGGCGCCGAAGGGGAGGCGTGCCTTGCACATATGGTCCAGAAGCGGCGTGGATCTTGAGTCGGTGTGGATCGCTGTATGTCCTCGCTACCATTGACCTACCAAGTAGATACCGAGGCCTTGCTCAGGTATACGGTGTTTACAGTAGCCGGAGTTGCATTTCCTTGACGTCTCTGTTTGTGCCCAGTTGCTTTTAGTTTTCTCTACTGTAAATGAACCTGGGAAAAAACGAAGAATTTGTGAATTTATGCAGTCTTTTGTTTATATATCGGTCTTTGGTTAAGAGACCTATTGTACTAATTCCTGTTTCATCCTCATTTTCAGGCTCCTGTGAAATAGTCTGGCCCCTACTATATCCTGTTAACGGGTGTAATTTACTGTAGAAGGAACAGCCGCGCTATTCATGCCCGCAGTGTCTCAGACAGTGTAACCGGCCGGCTACACAAGACGAAAATTTTCTCGAGGTTTTTCGGAAAATATTGAAATGTTTATTTATTCAATCAGCTTTCCCAACATCATAAAACAAGAGCTTCTGAGCTTCAACGAATTCCCCATTGGCTGGTGCCCAATATGTCACCGCCACCCCACAGACTGCCTCCCTCACCCGGCGCACTCCACGTCTTTGCCGGGTAGCCTTTGCTCCCACTGTTGTCCTGTCGTGTTAATGAGAGTTGTGCCGTCCCTTCTACCATTTCTATTCATCCATGGACGGCAACCGCGATGACGCCGAGCGTTGTCTGCATCTTGCTGCGACCGCTATGCACGGCAATGACATCGCGAAAGCCACCAGGCTACTTGCAAAATCGCGACGCATGTACCCGCTTCCAGAGCAGCAGGCTCGCTTCGACGCTGTTCTCAAACTGCACATTGCCTCGACCTCTTCAAAAAAGTCCTCCTCTTCCGCTACGCATGAGCGGAATTCGCGGCGAGACCAAGGCGTCGAGCCAGAAGGCGACCAAGAAAAGCGCCAAGCCACCCCCGAAATGGCCGCTGCCGTGCGCCGCGTGCAACAACTCTCAAAGAAAAATCACTATGACGTTCTTGGAGTACCCCGCGACGCCGAGGGCGTGACCATTAAACGTGCATACCGAAAGCTTGCGTTGCGCTTGCACCCTGATCGAAACCAAGCTCCCGGTGCCGACGAGGCGTTCAAACGGGTCGGCCAGGCGTTTGTTGTGGTGTCGGATAAGGAGCGGAGACGTCATTATGATCAGTTTGGCACGGATGGGCCTGAGCACCAACCAGTAAGAAGCGCGCGAAGGCGGAAGAGCCGAACACGCGGTGCTGCGGCTTTTGATGACTTTGATAATGCGAGGCACGAGATGACTCCGGACGAGCTGTTTGAATTTTTGTTCGAGGCCGCGGCGAGAGGGGGACAGGGCTTCACGGCACAAGGATTCGGCCCAGAGGGCTTTTTCACCACGACAAGGAACGATGCAGGGGGCCAGTTTAGGGAATACAGGCGGTATGAAGGCGCAGAAGACTCAGTTTGCGAGCGATTCAAGCCGATGCTTCTTATGGTTTTCATCATTACCCTCGCGATGGTGTTTGCCCAAGACGCTGCTCAGCAGCCTTACTCGTTGTTCAGGACCAGCTATCACTCGCGGGAGGGCATGACGCCGAATCAGGTGCGATATTACACGGCGTCAAGTATAGACCTGTCGCGGAGCAGGGCAAGACGACGTATGGAAATGGCAGTGGACGTCGCGGCATGGGAAGAGTATTCAAGCAGGTGTCAAAAAGAGATGGGTAAGGAGGACTTTTTGTTGAGACAAAGTCGGAAATGGCTAGTTGGGAAGAGAACACGGGAGCGGTACCGCGCAGAATACGAGGCTTTTGAGAAGCCATGGTGCAAAAAGGCTGGCGTGTTGGGTACAGCGTTACAGCGGCAAGGGGTGTACTGAGGCGAGAAACGAAGAATGGAGTAAATTTCTAACGACAGGCGAGGCGATATGGCAAGCAGAGGCAGGGCAGGTTAGCCTCCAAGTGGTAGATTTATTGATTCACTGTATATGGAGGCAGGTGTAGGATGGACAATGTGAGATGTACGCAAGCGGACCGAGTGTGATTTATCTATACATAGTTGACGAGCGAAAAAGTGTTGAGGTGCAGATGCACAAGAAAAAACGTATTCAAGAGATGTCTCTCACCATCTCAAACCAAGGCTCTCGGCCATAGCGTATTGAGCTTTGTATCCTGACTCTGAAACCGAGGCGCTCGAAAAATTTGAAGTTTCGTCTTTGACTCACAAGGACAATTTTTGTCATCTGAGTCTTCTCGGTGATTTCATTGAGATACGCCTTCATCATGCTTGTTCCCAGGCCGCGATTCCTGAGTTCAGGTTGAATGACGACTTTGTGCAAGTATAGGACGCGTCCACGTGGGTAGTGGTTTGTCACATATTCCTTTGTGATGCCATCTTTGTCGGTCGGCAGTCCTGAGCCGATAATATATCCGACAAACTTGTTGTGTCCCTCAAGAAAAGCGACAAAGCAGAGACTATGTGCGTATAAGATTCGATATTCGCACTCGGCAGCGGTGAAGGCTTGGGAGGAGGGAAAAGTACTGCGCTCAATCTCTGTGACGCGAGCGACATCGATAATTTCGGCATTCTGCATGTTGATGTTGGACTCATTAGAGGCCTTAGTACTGCTTCCACTTCCCCCCGCGACGGCGTTTATGCCGGAACTGGAGTTGGAGGTACTTTTATGGCCTGATGCACCCGAGCTTCGACTAGAGGTTCGGTGAGAGATTCCGGAGCCAGAGCCGCTGCCTGAAGCGGGGGCACTTGCATGGGAGTTGCCACGACCGCTACCGCTTCCATGCGAGGAACCGGTGCCGTTCGCGCTACCACTGCTGTGACCTTTCCCGCGGGAGCCGCTTCCCCTGTCCGAGCGCGAAGAGGAGGTGTTCGTGGGCATGACGGATGTAAAACGGTGACAAGACGGGAGCTGAACCGAGGGGCGTTAATCGGAGGGATCGGAGGATAGAGACGGGGTAGACGGAAAAGTTAGATGAGGATAGGAGGAAAATGGGAGCGGTAGGAGTGGGTTGAGCCGAGTTGAGATATATAGTGCATACATGAGGCTAGGGGGTGTCGTAGGGGCAGGGTTGAAGGTGTCAAAGGGGAGTGTCACTAAGGGCGTGTGTTGGGGAAGAACGCGACTGCTGGATTTCGGTTAGGCACGGGCCGGGACGCGAGAAAGCGCATACAGGGCGTAACAGGGCAAGTGTTTCTTTATAGCATTTGCACAGCATGACATCAGCTGTAATGCCTTACGTGATGCGCTGCCCGCCTAAAAACTGTAAACTTTTATACTGCGATCTCCCTCACTTCCATCTCCCTCACTTCCATCTACGGTACACACAGATCCCTCATCCTGTCGTCCTCTTCACTCTTCCGCCCTATCTCGTCCCTCCCCCCCCCCCCCCCCCCCCCCCCCCCCCTTAACGTGAAACCAAATCCGCCCACCCCACCCAACACTCTTTATTCCCCTCCCCTTGTCGCCAGCCACATCATTTCTCGCTTTGCATCAACCCCCCTCCGCAGATCCAACCGTCGTCCTCCACCCCGGCCCTTCTCAATTTCCATCCGTACGCACTCCATCCGTTCGACATCAAATGTCTGCATCTCCTGTCGCTCCCTCCTTCTGTCTCCCCCCCACCCCCGCCGCTGCAGCTCTTGCGGCCGCTCTTCTCGTTCAGTCACTACCGGTCTCTCCACCTGTACACCTTCATCTCGCGCATAAGACATACGCACTTGATCCCATTTCCCGAAACGATGCATTCGCGGCTTGTACTCATCACACAACCAATCCACTTACTAACGCTTGTGTCGCGGCGCAACAAGGCACTCAAGTTTCGCATCTCTTTCCCGTTGATACTTCATCTCCCCTTCCACCGTTGTACCCCTTGTCCGTAAGCGATTCTCTTACTACTGTCTCGTTTCCTTTTCCGCGCTCCACGCTCACGACCTGCGAGGACCGACCTGGTACTCTCTGGGAAAGTTTGGATGGCACGCCGTTGAATTTACCGAGTGAGCCGCGCAACACTCCACAACTGCCTGCAATAGACGCTGCGCAGAGCCACCTCTCATTCGAGGCCAGTGTCATAACTTCACCAAGCACCAGTTTACAGCTCACCACATACCTTCGAAATTCAGGCCACAGTGTCTCGAATCTACAGCGCTACCCCCAACCACCTGCACTCTGGTCTGCCTCCCAAGTGCATTCAGTGCCCAACGCCCTGTCGGACACCACCGCCGCTGTACACCTTTTCTCCAACTATGTCAAGACTGCTTACTCCGGCCATCCCAATGCAACACCGCACTTCAAGAATTCACGCACCCTCGGGACACACAGTTCCCCTGTTTATCGCCCCGAACCTAGGGACGTCCCCCCCGTGACTGACACAACCCACCTTGTTTCATTGCCAGCGCGACTCGCTGAGCACTCCATACCGAGCTCTCATGACCCCAAGCTTGTCTTTGATGTGTCGAAACCTGTCACAGCCGCGAGACACGCGCCTGAGCACAACTTTCTTGCGGTTGGCCCGACGGATTCCATGTCCAGCCGCCTCGGTCGCACTACTCCCACGCATGACGTAATCCAACTAATATCCAGCCCTAACACCGTATCGGTTACGCATCAACGTGACCGACTGTCGCGCCCACGGCATACAGGAGCCCACACACACCCGCTCTTGACCATTTCTACGCCACTTGCAAATGCGGAGACGCCCGCCTCACCTTCGGACGAGGAGCATCGTCTCGCCGAAGAAGCATGGCAGCTGGTTGACAAGTATTTTGTGTCTCCATCATTTAATGGCCTCGATTGGGCGGCTGAACGGAAGAAGCTTGCATCTGCATCCCTTCCCTCTCGTAAGGCTACATACGCCTATTTGCGAAGCTCTTTTCGCTTGCTATCAGATCAATACACGCGACTGATATCTCCCAATGACATGAACGCTTTTCGCCGGTTTGATACATCAGGCGTCGGCCTTTTGCTAACCACAGATTCAACCGGCGCTCTGGTTGTCGCCACTGATCCTCCAGCAGGCTCACCCGCAGCGAAGGCCGGTGTTGTTCGAGGGGACGTCTTGGAAGAAGTGGAGGGCGATCCAATTCAGGATCAAGCTGCATTCTCAGTCTCCGAGCGCATGCAAGGGGCCGATGGCTCTGACATGCACGTGACCTTCCGAGGTAAGGAGGAAATGACGCTGCGGCGATCGTTCCCGCCAGCCGCAGGATCAGCTGCTATCAAAGCCAAGCTGGTCGACATAGAAGACGGAAGTAAGCTCGGCTACATCAGGCTGAGTGAATTCCGGGCCTCGAGCCGGGAGGAAGTGGCGCTGGCATCCGACAAGCTGGTCAAAGGCGGGGCTGACTGGATTGTGCTTGACCTGCGAAAGAATGGGGGCGGGGTATTCGAGGGAGCTTTGGAGATCGCAGGTTTGTTTGAGGGCAATGATGTGCCCGTGGCTCAAGTCACGGGACGTGCAGACCCATCCGACGATTCGTCCGTCAAAGACGAGACATACAGGTCACGCCTAGTGGAAGGTGAGAAGCAGGTGCCAGGAGACGTCGACGTGGCGGTGATAATTGATGAGGGGTCTGCGAGCTCGAGTGAAGTCCTTGCTGGAGGGCTTCGGGACCAGTGTCGCGCCGCTCTTGTGGGGGAGCGGAGCTACGGAAAAGGGTTAATTCAGGGTGTGTTTGGACTTTCCGATGGTGGGGGGGTTGTCGTGACCGTAGGAGAGTATCGGACTCCAAACGGGGACCGTATTCAAGGAGTGGGGTTGAAACCGGATATGCAAAGACGGTTGAGTGGGATTGAGAGGATTGGACGTGTACTGGGGGTCGAAAAGATTGATGAGTCGACAATCGGTGTAGAGAGAGAACAAGTGCGGGAGGCGGTGAGGATGTGTGCGGCGAGGAGTGATGGTACGCCATGACAAGGGTTTTAGGCCCATTCTTTTGAAGGTCGTTCAGGGAGCGGCAATGGAGAATGTTGCGTGTGCAGTGGCGGTTTTATCTTTATTCTGTAGGTGATATTAAGAGTCTTGATGGCTAATGCAGAAGTATGCAAACTTGTGATGCTGGACAATATGGTGAACTCAAAAGAGTTAGGGAGGTGGACCGAGTTGCCTGATGGCTGAGACGCATATCATATCGGCGTGTGGCCCCTAGACCACAGGTGTCATTGGTCTTTATGTTGTATACCGTGGGCATAGATACATTTCTCTCGGATTGCTGAATGGCTACATCATGAAGCGCAACCCTTTCTGATATTCAAGCTGGATGTCGACTCTTGAGACGTGGCGATCGCAAGACGAGGAGCGCTGTCAACTTCGGAATCTGCACTGTATGACAACTGGACCGATTGCGCAAGCACAATATCATAAACCGCTGTGGTGATGACCCCCAAACAACCCCCACAGCTACTGATATCGATTCGTCCCAGAAGGGTGAGTTTTGCCCATCACGTGCCAGGTACAGTAGAAACTTTGTGCTTCAAGGAATCTTGAATGAAAAAGGCTTTTGCAGCACATAGGGTGAAACAGTCATTTTGCTGTAGTTCCACTGGGCCGAGGGCTTGAGGGGAGACGTTCTCTAATGCACACACAGAACAGTGTCAGGATCTATGTTTCTTCAGGTAGTGTATCATTCAACAGCCTTTTGCTGGGCTTCACTCGTTGCCTAAGAAAAGGACAAGTAACATATCACCGGAACTGAGCTGCGCCAGGGCAGGACTACATTCGAAAGACAGCTTCACATTTTCAGTGCTGTTTTCGAGAAAGCCCGGCGAAGGGTGCACTACTAAACGCTAATGACAGCCTTCTTCTTTCATGTCTTCGAAACTACCAAACTAATAGAGTATTGTACAGTAAGTGGTGTAAAATTTCAATGCGCAGTATTACATCCATTGCCTTCTTGGCGTTCCGCCCATTAAAATTGCTACCCGCCGTTCCGCATGAACATGCCATAGATGATGACAAAAATAGTAAAAATGTTGTGACAAATATGACATTCTAAATCAATAAATTAATGCCCAGTATGTGTGATTGAAGAAAAAACATGCTGCCTCATACTATGAAGCAGCATGTTTTTTTGTTCATACCCTGACGGTTCTAACCTGTGTGTATGAGCCTTATACACACAGGTTAGAACCCTCAGGGTACCGTTGTCTGTCCCCGAGGGTATTGTACGGTATAAGGGCAGGGAAGGACGCGTAAGCTATGAGAGCTGAAACCACACGAAGGCGGAGAAAAGGCGGAGAACTAAATTTACCCCTGCCGGATCTGTCCAAAATCAATCACGTTTTGACACTGTACAGTGCCTATGGGTGCAGTACGCACAGTACAGAACGATACAACCGTGTCCAATCTCCCGCTTCATTTCGAACGCCTCTCTCTCTTCTCGGGAGCCCCGCCTGCAACACAGAGGCTCTACTGCCCGAGCGTTCCACCGACCCGTTCTACGACCACGGTTCACCTCCTGCATATGTGCGCTCGCGTCCAATACCCCATTCTTGCCTTCGCCACCGCCCTAGTCCTTCTTCTCTTTGTCTTTGTCGCATCCTTCAAGCCCCCACCCTTCTTTACTCGCATGGCGCCCAAAGACGTCCTCCGCTTCCCGCCCGGTTTTTCGTGGGGCACGGCCACATCCTCGTACCAAATCGAGGGCGCTGTTTCTACGCACCGCGTCCCCAGCATCTGGGATCGCTTTAGCCACACTCCGGGTGTAGTATCCGACAACAGCACCGGTGACTACGCTTGCGACCATTACAATCGCTTCAAGGAGGACGTCAAACTTATCAAGACACTCAACACATCGCACTACCGGTTTAGTATAGCATGGCCTCGTATTCATACCTTTGAGGACCCTGCTGCCCCGCAGAGCAATACACACGGAATTGCGTTTTACAACGCCTTGATCGACGAGCTCATTGCTAATGATATCACTCCGGTTGCTACCTTGTTCCATTGGGATCTGCCGATAGCCGTGGAAGACAGCACGGGCGGATGGGCTGGCTCTGGTGCTGTCGCTGATCGCTTCGAGGAGTATGCGAGGTTGTGTTTTGAAAAGTTCGGCGATCGCGTCAAGAACTGGATAACGTTGAATGAGCCGTGGTGCTCTGCAGTGTTGGGCTACGAGGTCGGGGAACACGCGCCTGGCGATACCTCCAAACCTGGCGTGAATGTGTACAAGGCTGGGCACAATCTTCTACTCGCTCACGGTCGTGCGGTGAAAGCATACCGCGAGGACTTTCAGGCAATACAGAAAGGGAAGATCGGTATTTCGTTAAACACAATGTGGGCAGAACCGAAGGACAGAAATAATGCGACGCATTTGGAAGCGGCGCAGCGCGATATGGACTTCGAGCTCGGATGGTTTGCAGATCCAATATGGAAGGGGGACTATCCAGCGACTATGCGGGAGACAGTGAAGGATAGGCTGCCGGAGTTCACCAAAGATGAGAAGGAAATGTTGAAGGGGAGCTCGGATTTTTTTGGACTGAATCACTATTCCTCTCAGTATGCAACGGGGATGTATGTACCGGATCCGCCGTTGGTTAGTCATTGGAACGACAAGGCGACGACTCATGAGGAAGACAAGGATTGGAAAAAGACGGATATGGGATGGTCGGTAGTGCCGTCGGGCTTTCGGAAGTTGTTGCTTTACGTTCAAGAAAAGTACGAACCAGAAGGTGGGATTCTTGTGACGGAGAACGGCCTTGCGTCAAAGGAACCAACTCGGGAGGCTGCGAGTAAGGACTCCTTGCGCATCGAATTCTATACGCTGTACATCAAGGCGGCTCATGAAGCGGTTGGGCAAGGCGCTGATGTGCGAGGATACTTTTTATGGAGTCTCATGGATAACTTTGAGTGGGCGTTTGGGTACGAGAAGAGGTTTGGTTTATTCTTTGTCGACTACAAGACAATGGAACGAGTAGCAAAACCGGCTGTCGAATGGTATAGGAAGGTGACATCGACTAACACTTTAGAAGTATGACTTGGATTGTACGATGCAAACGCGACGTGCAAAGTTGGAAATTCACGTTCTAGTGGCAGGGGCTTGCGCTGCTGCCTTTGACATGAAACACTTACCAGACCGAAGACAACAACTCGTCTTAAGGGTATGTGAAGCAAGTGTCGACCCAGTGCGGGGCTTGTCGTTTGGGTTTGATCCAAGTGATAGCCACAAAGACAAATGCCAGCACATGACAGTGCAGTTTTCGTGCCCGCTGCGAGAGGAGCAAATGACTAGCACCTGAACGATTTGCTGCCTTATATGGTTTGCTCTCTTTGCGTAAAGACTTTGTACTGCACCCAAGGGTACTGTGCAAAAGCAGTTTTCTCGGAGTGCCATGCTGTATAGCTTCTGTTTGGAAACACGCCCTGTTTCAGCCTGGGAGGTCTTGTATTGTTTCCTGTGAATTAATTCTTGGCCCTTTTTTTAAAATATTTCTAGCCTCCTTCTTTGGAGAATTGATGTGATTGGGTGTGTACATGCTAGCCAGGCCGCATTGGGCGAATTAACCTAGCCCACACCGAGAAGTCGCCTGATGCAAAAAATTGGTTGCAGAACGATACAGCCCCTCTCTGTGAGCCTGCCAAGCTGCGTCCAATCACATTCCTTCTTGAACACGTATGATGCATGACACTGCAGCCACAAACCTTCAAAACGGGTGTAATGCTTGTCTCTGTTTCTCCTAAAACGGATATACGCTTTGTTCACCCGGCGTTGAAGTGCAGTGTCTACGTCTTTTTTCTTTCGACTCGCTTCTCAAATCGTCCGGAGTACAGAAGAACAAACCTGCTCTTACCTTGCTGCTCACCATGGATGTCGTACGGAGGGGCCGTTTCCGGCGACAGTTGGCCCGCCCGAAAGACAAGCCGTCGCGATCCTCAACAGCATTGGTTGCCCTCACGTGCGCCGCCTTCCTGGCTGTCGTCGCTTCCGTTTTTCTCCTCTGGCACCTCCGCCCGACCGTGGTCAAAGCCCTTCCCTTTCCCGAGGGTTTCATGTGGGGCACTGCCACTGCGTCGTATCAGATTGAAGGCGCCGTCAAATCGGATCGCGCGCCTAGCATATGGGATCGCTTCACGCATACCAAGGGAAACATCTACAAAGACCAAAACGGCGACGTCACCGTCGACCATTACAACCGCTTCAAGCAGGATGTCCAGCTCATGAAGAACCTCAACACGACGCATTACCGCTTCTCCATTGCCTGGCCGCGAATGCAGACCTTTGCCGACCCTTCCAATCCAAAACCAAACCCGACTGGTATGGCGTTTTACAACGCGCTTATTGACGAGCTCATTGCCAATGATATCACGCCTTTCGTCACTCTGTATCATTGGGATCTTCCTGTTGCGATTGAGGATGCCTTCGGTGGGTGGGCAGGAAAAGGTGGTGTTGTAGACGCGTTTGAGAAGTATTCCAAATTATGCTTTGAAACGTTTGGCGACCGAGTCAAAAACTGGATCACCTTCAACGAGCCGTGGTGCTCTGCTGTACTGGGGTACGATTTAGGCGTGCATGCTCCTGGTGATAAGTCGGAACCTGGGAAGAAGGTGTACAAGGCGGGACATAATTTGTTGCTATCTCACGGACGGGCTGTGCGATTGTATCGGAAGGAGTTTAAGGAGAAGCAGAGAGGGGTTATCGGGATCACGCTCAACAGCAACTGGGCCGAGCCCAAGAACGCCGAGGACCCAAAAACGGTGGCGGCTGCACAGAGGGAGATGGACTTTTGGTTGGGTTGGTATGCCGACCCTATCTGGAAGGGGGACTACCCCGCTGTGATGAAGGAAACGCTCAAGGACCGGCTGCCGAGCTTCACGGAGGACGAGAAGGCGATGCTGAAGGGAAGCTCGGACTTTTTCGGGGTTAACCACTACTCATCGGGGTTGATCGAGCCGATGGGGCGCGTGAACAAGCGCAACTCACCGTATTGGAAGGACAAGGGGACGTATGAGAGCCATGATCGGCGATGGAAGAAGACGGACATGGGGTGGTCGATCGTGCCGTGGGGTTTCCGTAAGCTGCTCGTTTACATCCACCAGCAGTATCAACCCGAAGGAGGGATCATCGTGACGGAGAATGGGCTGGCGACTCGGGAAGACAGTGTGGCGGCGATGCAGCGGGACACGCTGCGAGTGGAGTATTTGACGAGCTATTTGTACGGGATGCATGAGGCGATCCAGCAAGGTGCGGACGTGCGGGGATACTTTTTGTGGAGCTTGATGGACAACTTCGAGTGGGCGGAGGGGTACAGGAGGCGGTTCGGATTGTACTATGTGGATTACGAGACGCTGGAGCGGACGGCCAAGCCGGCGGCGAAGTGGTATGCAAACGTGACGGGACACAACGCAGTCGTTGTGGAGATGGAAGTGGAAGGATGAGGCGGCGGCGGATAGCGGGTGAGCTGCGCAGGCTCTGCTGCATGTGCACACAGAGTGGTCGTTGTATAGGAAGGTGCAGTACCAAGGGTACAGTATGATACTGATACTGACAGTATTGCAGCGAGGCGCGATCGAGCGCAAGGCGGTGGGTGCACAGGGTGGGATAGTGTAGCGGCAGGCGGGTGTTGGGGAAGGGGGATGGTGCGTGCGCGGAAGGCGCGAGAGTGATGTGGCGAGGAGGTGCGCGGGCCAATGTCAGGTGGGATGCACGTGGGTGGCGGAGGTGCGGTGCCGAGGTGCGGTGCACTGTACCCTTCGGTACCCTTCGAAGGGTAGCACGAGAGGCACGGGCCCCGGGTGACCTGGAGACGGCGAGAATTGCTTCGCGCGGCTCGCGAAGCTATCGCTGCTTGCAGCCAATGGGAACCGCGGAGGGTGGCCAGGAGGAAAACGCGCCGTAGAAATAGCGGCGCTAAAGTCGTTAAACGCGCCTGTTTCGGGCCGTTTAGCGCCCACGCCGCCCTTCCCGCACATGTAAATTTACAGCATGTTGGTTGACTTGTCCCTTGATGGGACATCGCCGCTAGCCCCGCGTCGCCTACGTATTGTACCGTACCGGTGTCTATATATCTCCCATGCAGACCATGCCGTCCTACTTTGTTCACCGTCCCCAGCCACTTCTGCCACCCCTGCCACCCGACTGCCCCTCCCCGCCGCCGCCGCAGACCGTCACGCAGCTCCGCAAACCCCTCCTTGACTCCCTCCCCTAGCCACGATATCGCCACACCCCTCTCCTCCTCTCGCCGATTCAACATGGCTCACATGCGCTTCCCCATCGATGCCATCGACTCCGAGACAGACACGGTGTCCGACAACGACTCGAGCTCCTCCACCCTCTTTTCCTCGCCCAGTTCCCTCTCCCTCACGCCGCTGGTCCCGCTGTCGCTGTCGCCGCTCCCGCCCCAATCGCCGCCTGTCTTCCAATGGTTCGCTGTGCGCGCCCCGGGCCTGCGCACAGCCCCAATATGCAGGACCGCCCTGTCCAAGAGACACGTCACGGTGAGCAAGAGCTGCCTCCAGTTTAGAAGGGTGTACGAGCAAAAGGCCGCCAGAGATGCTGTGCCGCAGCCGCTCGATGCCTTCCCGAGCTAGGTGCGGGAGCTTGCCTTCCTGTGCACCACGCTTGTTTGATTTGGAATTGCTTTATCCAAGTCGCCTCTAAGAGCGACTTTTGTTCATACACTATACGTCTTCGAGTGCTGCTTCCCCGCTTTTTGTATGTAGCGTCTCGTCTGCTTACCTCGTTCTACATCTTCATATCTATCTAGTCTTTACTTCTTGAGCGCTTGTAGCTTGTCGCAACAGGCCTGCTGTAGTAGACAAAATAACAAAAAAACTGCATATCCTCCCCCTCCCCCCCCCCCCCCCCCCCCGTTCTTTTTCATCGACCGTACGACCGTTTCCTACTCTCCTGCTTGAGTTGCTCAAGCTTGAGCGACCGTTCATGGTACTTTTTCCTGCACGCTATGTACTCTACCAAGAAGCCATCAAAGCTCATCGAGCTCGACACCATTCTCTTCTCTAACATCTCGCTGTTACTCTCCTCCTCAGCAATCGCCATCTTCAAGCGCTCTATCAACCTCTCGGGCGAGTTCTGTTCCAGCCACTCATCCTTCAACTTCTGCAACCCAGTAGCCTCCTTCTCCATCTCCACAATCCTCTCGCGAATCCCCGCCAACCCCTCCTCATTCGCGACCTCCTCCATGCGTTCCGTAATTGCTTCATGCTCGACCTTCAACCGCTCGACCTCGCCCTTGATCCTGCCGACAAACTCGTCGACGACCTTCTGATGCGCGTGCTTGCTGACAAAGTCGTCGAACTTTGCCTTCTCGTCGTGCAGCAGGCGCAGGTCCTTGAGCGGCATGGCTTGCAGCTCCGGGAACGTCGTGGGCGCGTCGGGGAGGCCGTCCTTCCAACGCGGCCCGGGCGGCACGGGCGCGGATGAGGGGTGACGGTCGCTCGGCTGGCTCGCGTCCAGGTACGCCGCCGGTGCATGCGTGCGCGCCGCTGGCGGTTGCGTCCCGTGCGCAGGCTGCGCGCCTATGCCCGACGTCCACGTCGAGTGCACGGCCTGCCCTGACTGCGCCGGTCGGTACGGCCCGCTCGAACCGGTCCACATGGTGAGGTGAGGTGCGGGCTGAAGGCAGGAAAAGACGTCGACTGCGGTTCGGTGGGGATGGATGGTGAGATGAGGGAAGGGTTAGTTGATGGGGCCGCTGTCTGTTGTTGGAAGTGGTTTGGATATGTGCGGGTGGACGATTCAGCGGGTTGCACAGGGAAGGATGGGTTCACGGGGCAATTGTAGTGCTCGGTGGGGGTGTTGGGAAGCGGCAACGGTGCGAAGGCGGCTCCAGGGCGACTAGCGGGGGAGGGCGGAGGGCGACGCAGTCAAGGCGGGTTGGGGCGGGGCTGCGGGGCGCACATCGCTGTACCGAGAAGCTGCACGGGCGACGATTGGCGTGGCGAGGTGGGCAATTTTATCAACGGTTCAGGATTATGGTGGAATGGGAGCGGGGGCGGCAGCGGCAGCAGCAGCAACGGGCAGCCGGCAGCACTTTTGGACGGGTGTCAACTGTGTGTGATGGCATCGAGGCTTGCCCTGCGACTGGAGGCTTCGTCGCGCTGGCGATGCCGTATTCGTGCTGATGTGGCCGTCAACGTTGCATCTCCGTTTACATGTCGCGCGCGGGAGCCTTCTCCGGCCTAATGTAGAAATAAATATGTACCGTATTCCCCTCACAACCCCTTAGAACCTTTGCCGTGCAACATTCGACAGACCAACCCCCACACAGGACAGGACGATTCCACCCTCCGCCGCCCCCTCGCCGTCTGCGTCTCCATCAACTTTGACCTTAAAAACCACGCCGAAAAAGCGCTTCAAGTCCCTGAGAAACTGCACGGTTGCCTCGCTTAGCCTGCCGACTCGAATCCTGCTAACGTCACTATCCGCTAGCGCACAATACAGCGCGGCCAAACACGCGTGTCCAGAATCGACGCACCCGGCCGCGGCCACCTCCTCCAGCAGCATATTGCACGCGTCGCTCGCGACGGCCTCTGGAGTGACGCCCGCGCTGCTCGCGGTCCAGTCGGCGCCCAGCAAGCAGCCCTCCGTGGTCTCTGCGACGAGCTGCAGCGCGAAACCGACGCCGCAGTCCTTGCCGTTGGCGACGTCCGTGTGCACGTACACGTCGGGCAGCAGGGGGTTCATGGCGCCGCGCGTGGTGTCCACCATGCGCGCGACCAGCCCGGGGCTGGTGCGGTTGGCGAAGGCCGTGCCGCGTATCCGCTTGACGTAGCCGGGCTGCAGCAGGTCGACGGGGCGCAGCTTGGCCGTGAGCACGCCGCAGGAGAAGGTGAGCACGCCGCCGCGGCCGCCGCCGTTGGCGCCCTTGCTGCACACCGCGCGCTTGCGCACGTCCACGCGCGGCTCCAGCGACGCGCCCAGCGTCAGCCGGCGGAGCAACGGCACGGACACCGCCGCCAGAGTGTCGGCGCTGTAGTCGGACGGCGCGTGCGTCGGGCCGCGGAGCGTGAGGGTGAGCGGCCGCTTGCAGAAGGGCGCGAGCATGAGCAGCGGGTAGAGGTAGTAGGATACCGGGCGGGAGGGGTGGCATTCGTGGGTGAGATGGTGCGCGCCGAGGAGGATGCCCGGCTTGTAGAAAAGGGAGGTTCCGGTTTCGTTGATCTCGATGACGGTGCCGGAGGTGAGCTTGTCGAGAAGGCGGATGAAGGAGACTTCGGCGGGGGAGAGTCCGGGGGTGGTGTCGTCGGCGCGGATGGAGCGCAGGCGCAATGGGTGGGAGGAGAGGATAGACAGGACTAGGCGATGGCGCAAGTGGGCGGCGCCGGTGAAGGTTTGCGTGGAGGTGCGGCTCATGGCAACCATGATGCGGGGAAGCGACGTCGCCTGCTCTTGGCGGCAGGAAGGTTTACTGCGGTGGGTGCGCGAAGAGGAAGGACAACTGACCTCAGCCCTGAGAGCAAGATAGGGATACCGTCGGCGCCGGCCTTATCATACATCATACATGTACTGTACTGTGAACAGCAAGTGAGAGAAGGGTGTTCCGAGGGACCGTGGGATTGTGAATGAAACGTGTACTCGCTGTTTGGTACAATTGTGGCACACGTGTTATAAAACGGCCCTCAGGGCCCTGAGGGCCGTTCCTAACGAAGAGTTCGCCGTGCCAGCACCCGAGCACCCTGAAAGTTGGCATGAATGTATTGGTTGAAAAAATTATTGGAAATGCTTTTACTCCCGTTCAACCAATCCATTCATGCCAAATGTCTGGGTGCTCGGGTGCTGGCACCGCGAACTCTTCGTTAGGAACGGCCCTGAGGGCCGCTACGCTCCGCGGCACGATGTCTGATCATGTGATCCCATTCGGTGGAGAGATGATGTCCGAGACAGAGCTGTGAGGCCGGTGGCACTCTGGCCAGCTGGCAATCTGACGGATGCGAGCCATTACGACATTGCGATTTAACTCACGCCTCTCTGCTTTGCAGATATTAACTCCAATTCCCATACTCTTCCTTCCACGCATACCGCATCCGCCGTCTCACCACTTTTCTATTACTGCACCACCGTATCTATTGCACCGCCTTGTTCCACACCAACCTCCCACAAACCCCCCCACAACTCATCCTCTCTGCCTTAAAACAACGTCCTTCGACTTCGACATCGAGCCCGTTCCCTTTCAACTCATCACATTCGCTGCCTATCCCCCACCTCTACACAAACAACACCACTCTGTTCCACGAAATGGGCAAGCTAGGCATAATCGGCGGCACAAGTCTCTTCGAGACCTCCATGTTCTCCTTCCTCGAGCCCAAGACCGTCTCTACCCCGCACGGCGACGCCATTATTTACGTTGACCCCACTAACACCAGCCCCATCGTCTTCCTTCAGCGTCATCATGCGGATGGCTCTGCCGGCGCCTCTGTCTACTGTCCTCCCCACTGCATCAACCACAAGGCCAACATCGCTGCGCTGCAAGCCGAAGGCGTCGACCGCGTAGTCGCCGTGTGTTGCGTCGGCTCGCTATCCCCCGACATCCCCATCGGCTCCATCGTCGTCCCCGATGACTACTTTTACCTCTTCGGCCCGTCCATCTCATTCTTCGACGACGCCAGGGGCCATATCGTCCCCGGCATTGATGACGCCTTGCGGGGAGACATTCTCGACGCCGTCCGGGGAACCGATATTCAAACCCTCCGGAAGGGCCCCGCCACGTACGTGCAGACGACTGGCCCGCGCTTTGAAACTAAGGCCGAGGTGCGCTTTTTGGAAAAGCTTGGCGACATCATTGGCATGACCGCCGCCTCTGAGGCTACCTTGACCAAGGAGAACGAAATCCCGTACGCCATTCTCGCCATGGTCGACAACATGGCCAACGGCCTGGCCGGATCGGAGCTCACGCAGGAGCAGTTCCACAAAAATGTTGCCAACAACCGCGCCACCGTCGAAAAGGCCGTCAAAGCCGTCCTCGCCCACCTTGGCAACAAATCGTAGCACCAACACACCTCTCTCGCCTCTCTCCTTCCGCTGTAAATAATCTCCTGGTCGCTACTATTTTTTTTGTGGCAACCTCCCTAAGCACGGCCTTCTTCCTCGTGCGCGTCCGCCCTCGGCTTGCCCAGCGCGGCGAGCACGTCATCACACAGCTCGACAAAGGTGGGGTCCTGCATCTCTTTTTCCAGCGCGGCTGCCCTGTCTGCGGCGCTATCCACGCGAGCGATAGCCGCCAGCACGCGGGAGTGTGCCGTCTTGCGCGTCACCTCGGGGTCGGTGTCGAGGATTGCCAGTTGCTCTGCGGTGAGGAGGAGCTCTTCTGAAGGGGGGTTTGCTGCGTTTGCGCGCGCAGGGAATTTGGTTGGAGCGGAGGGCGGGGCGGAGCAAGGCGTTTGCTTGTGCGTGCGGTTGCAGGCGACGGAACAGCTTTGGACGGTGTTAGTGGCGTGCTCGACGAGGAGGGAAGCGGAGAGGTCGAGAGAAAGACTTACAATGGTAGCACGCAGGTTGGACACTTGTATTTGGCCTCATTGGTTTTGCAAACGCCGCATTTCTTCTTCATTTTGACGACAAGTTGTGTTTGAGCGGAGGCTGTGCGGAGTGACAAAAACGGGCACGGAAGAAAGGGCCACGTGAAGCAAGGCAGAAGGAATTTTCGGTACACCTTCAATAGGTAGTAGGCGGATTTTCTTTGAGTCTAGAGGGGGAGAGGGAGAGAGAGCAGGAGAGAGAGAAGGAGAAGGAGAAGGAGCGAGAGCAATAGTGCAGCTGTGTCGACGCAGGGATTAGAGGAAAGGTCGCTGACCTTTCTCTATTTGTACTCATCTGCTGATCATGTCAATCCATCATTTCTATTGGATGTTTCTATTTTAGAGGCTCTACAGTAGGTTCTGCGACATCGATACAGCAGCAACAGACTGGGTGCAGAGTTGTACAGCAGCCCTTCGAGGAACTGGTTGGAGTTAAGGCCAGAATGATTTCGATTCGTCACAGAGATTCTACATCCGGTCATTCTTCGATTGCTGAATCGAAAGCCGATGTAACTTTGAAACGAAGCGCACAGTACGGTCGTAATAAATAAAACTCTTGTTTAAGGTCTCAACTGGTTTTTGCAACACATCACAATCATGACGTTTTTATGGTGGCAAGCTCGGTCTGCGAGGAACAATGCACAGATATGAAATAGGCGCAAGTCTGGGCGAGGGGGCCTTCGGACAAGTGCGCCAAGCCAAACACAAGGAAACAGGAGAAAAGGTACTGACCTCATGTCAACACTTTTCTCGACAGTACTAACCTAAACCACAAAGTTGCTTTCTTATCTAACTCTAGCTCATGTTCGTTGCTTCCTCAATCATTCCTTGCTTCCATATAGGTCGCAATCAAGACGCTCAAAGATAAATGCAGAGATTTCAACACTATGATGAGATTACCGGAAGTCAAGGTTTGTTGTCCACCATTCACAACATCTTTCCATTCCTAGTCCTCACAGCCTTCGATGCTAACAGCTCTCGCGAATAAACTGTATCAACTATGTTCTGCTTTTCTTCCACAGGCGCTCCGAGCCATTTCCCATGAAAATATTGTCAAGTGCAAGGAGCTCCTTCTGGACCGCAAAGGCTACGTCCACATGGTCTTTGAGCTCGTAGAGGGCGGAAATCTCGAAGCCTTCAATCGCAAACACAGGGGAAGCCCTCTCACCGAACTACACATCCGCTCCATCTTCTATCAACTCCTGCGTGCCATAAGCTACATGCATTCTATGCGTCACATGCATCGCGATATCAAGCCCGAGAACATTTTACTTCAGTCCAACGGAGCAACTGATAACATCAAGATCAAGGTGGCCGACCTAGGCCTAACAAAATTCTGTGAAAGTGCCAAACCCCGTCCACATACCACATACGTGGCGACACGATGGTATCGAAGTCCGGAAATTCTTCTCCGCATCTCCAACTACAGCTTTCCGAGTGACCTGTGGGCTGTTGGTGCCGTCATGGCTGAAGTTGTCTGCCGTGGAGAGCCTCTGTTTCCCGGCGACGACGAACGTGATCAACTGGCTCGTATTATCGCTTTACGCGGACACCCTGCCATGGTCGGGTGGCAACTTGGTGAAATCACAATGAATGAACGTCATATTCGACTTCCAAAAACTACTCCATCGTCTTTGCGAAGCGTTGTTCCGCTAGCCAGCCTCCCCGTGTTGCAGTTGATCTCTGATCTGCTGGAGATGGATCCTGCCCGTCGCCCATCTGCGTCAGAAGCTCTTGGTTACCCACTCTTTGTTTCCCATCGCCCGGAGAACTACATTCGTTTGCCCTCTGGCAAACGACAAAGGCTTGACGGAGAGGGCCTGGACACAGCTCGGACGAGGGATTACCCATCTAGCCGATGGACAGCAGGTAGCCAGAACGAGGACGAGATTCTTAGACAGGGTTCAGAATCAAAACGCGTGCGTGTGAAAGCTCTCCTGCCTCCAAAAGACACTGTGAAACCTCATATGCACGCCCCTAGAAGTCCACAATACAATGAAAAGGTTTTCAATATTCCTTCACTGTTGGATAATGGCGATAACTGGTCTGATAGCACGATCTGTCATCAATTAGGGAGAAGAAGTCGAGCAGGCAAGTTTGATCTCGGCATCTAAAGCAGTACTGTTGTAGGAGAAGGTGGGGTTCAGGATTGTAGGAAATGTTGCACGCGATGAACTTCCATCGGTTCGGCGATAGAATATTAGAGGAATGGTCCAACCACTCATGGGCCAAGGGGTTTCTGCCCTAATGCGGTGATATCGCGCAACTAAGTTTTATGTGCCGATGATGACTGTACACTTCTAAATTTGGTTCTTGGGAAAGCTTTGGGATATTGACTTGAGAAGTAATGGCGTCACACATCAGCAAAAGAAGCCTCCCCGTCTGATAGCACTAGAGATGCACTTTAGACATGGTTTTATCGCTCACCAGACTGGTTGACTTACGTCCACAATAAGAAATCTCAGCAGAGAGAACACGTCGGCGAGCAGCTCTCAACAAGCGCCAGTCCTTTAAGACAGTGCGGTCCGCGAATTTGTAAGAGAACTTTGTGTGAGCGCTGCTGGTCACACGCCCTCGCTCGTTCTTTCTGGAGGAAGGGTCACAGACGTACATAAGCTAGGGTCTCAAGCGACTTGCACACAGGCAGGTGAAAGAGGGCCACACTAAATTGATTCTGAAGGAAGAATGAGCTCAAGTACCCTTGGTACTGTACCAGTACCAAGGGTACTTCAGGTACAGTATGTTACAGTGCTGTGACCTGCCCATTGCGGAGCTCAAAATTAAAGAAATACATGATCTCGACTGAAGAATAATTTATAAACCCTGATTAGAGCGCAAAAGCCAGTCGGCATGAGCTTCAGTTGTTGACGTTTGCATGCGAGAGTAGGAGTTCCTCTTCTCTGAGAGTGCAACACGAGCCTCTCCCGATTCATCTGGTTACTCCATTTGCACAGAAACAGATCCTTCCCAACTAAAACGCGAGCTTTTCTCTCTTCTTTTTTCTGCGCACGTGCAGACAATCAAGAAGCTACGTTCAGAGAGATACTTTGAATCTCTCTTGAGTCCGCTATGTCGAGCCACACTTGTTTTGTCGCTGGGCCGGCTCCCTTCTCCTTGACGAGCAGACTAACGCTTCAGCGCGGCCTCGATTCTATCTGCAGAAGACGTACTACGTTTGCAGTTCAATATCGAACGCGTAGGGCGCATATCTCAATGGGATTATTTGGGCTGGGTTTCCCAGAATTAGCTGTCATTGCTACGGTCGGTGTCTTCATATTCGGACCAGGGAAGATTGCCGAGATGGGGAAAGATCTCGGGGGAATTGCTGGTGGGGTGAAGAAGGCCACATCTGAATTCAAGGATGCAATGGAGGAAAGTTTGGAAGAAGCGGATCGAGAGATTGAACAAAAGAAACTTCAGAAGGATGCCACGGTCGGCAAGACTGTTGATGCCTCGGCGAAACCAGTCGACGAATCTGTAGAACAAACTAACACGTAGGACACGACCTTCTCAATCTTCAGAGCACGTTGGTTCTTGGCAAATATGGTATTTGAGCTCAGTAAATATGCACATGGTGCCTTTAGTAGGGCGAGCCGGCAATCTCTCCAAGTAATGTGAAGGGCAATGCTTCAACAATCTTCACAGGTACAATTTTCCCCCTCAACTCCCTCGAGCCAGAAAAGCGAACCGTACGGTTCGTTGGAGTGCGCCCGACGACTTCGCCTGGGGTTTTAGAGCTTTCTTGCTCAACCAACACATGCTCAACTCTTCCAACATACCGCATACTTCTTTCAAGAGCATGTCTTGTAACCAATTCATTCATTCGAGCAAGCCGGTCCGCTTTCATGGCGTCCGAGATCTGGTTGCTATACTCGGCTGCCGGCGTGTTTGGGCGGGGTGAGTATGCTGCAGTGTTCATCACATCAAACTTCACGTCCTCCATAAGCTTTAAGGAGTCTTGGAACTGTTCCTCCGTCTCACCTGGGAAGCCGACGATCATATCGCCACAGATGGCAGCATCCGGGGTTGCTTCTCGGATTCGATTAACCACTGCCTTGAATGCCTTTACAGTGTAGCCCCTCTTCATTTCCTTCAAAACATCATCGTTACCACTCTGGGGAGGAATATGAAAATAGGGCATGACGTTCGGTAACTCGGCACAAGTGGTGACCAGATTCCGCGAAATATAGCGCGGGTGGCTTGTAGTGAATCGTATCCGATCTATCCCATCGACGTCATGAACATTCCGTAGAAGCTCCGCAAATGTTTTTTTCGGATACATGTCTCTCCCATAAGCGTCTATGTTTTGGCCAAGAAGTACAACCTCACGAATTCCAGAACGTGCGATATCCTCCATCTCCGCACGAATACTGCTAATTGTCCTACTCTGTTCCACACTTCGTACAACATTACCCACTGTGCAAAAAGTGCAATTTTCTCCGCACCCATACATGACGTTCACCCACGCCGTGACCGTGGACTCACGCTTGGGCTTAGAGATATCCTCTTGAATGTGAATGGGATCTGTAGCTGCCACCTGACACTGATTAGTCTCGACGTCCTTCAGAAGGTCACCGAGACGATTTGCGTACTGAGGCCCAAACACTAGGTCAAGCTCTGGGATTCGGCGCAGCATTCTTTCTCCTTCTTGCTGAGCGACACAACCGGCAACAGCAAGTGTCACATCCTGCGGGTATTTTCGCTTGCGAGCAGCATGGCGACCGATGTAGCTGTACACTTTCTTCTCCGCATGGTCGCGGATGTTGCACGTGTTTAGAACGAGAACAGAGGCCTTGAAAGGGTCATCGATTTCTTTATAGCCAATTCGAGCAAGCTCTCCAGCCATTCTCTCGGAATCAGATCGATTCATTTGACATCCCAAAGTCTGCATTGCATACGTCTTCGCCACTGGTACCAATGCTTCCGCGGAGGTGTTTTTAAAGTCTTTTTTATCTGCCTTCCGGCGAGAAGGTGTTCTTTCGTGTTTCGTCCTGATGACGTGACGCACTTCTTCTACCATAAAAACGTGCCATCCATCCTCTGTCTTGACCTGTTCCAATCTATTCGGCCTCGTACGAAGAGCTGCTCCTAGCAGCTGCTCGTTCACTCCGAACTGTTCCCTATCTGCTGGAATTGCTTCATCCTGCCACCACCATCCCAAATCTCCGCCGGATTCTTTACTCGCTGAACATGTGGACACCATTTTCGCCATTTTCGCAAGCGACTCTTCACGAGCTACAATCTTTCTGAAGACTACTTTTGCAAGCTCTTCAGTGTCCACTCGACAATGGCGAATCCGGACAGCTTCGATGTCATTCGGTGAGATGTCATAAAAACGATTTCCTGGGAGACCAGAAGCAATTTTTGGAATGTCTGCTCTGGGGGATATGGTGTCTTCTCGTTGAAGTACGGCCCTGGTGCCTCCGTGAGCGCTGTTCGACAGTGAATAAGAGCTCCTCGCAATGTGCGTAGTTTGCGCGATATTCGATTTTGCTGATAGCGTTTCGGCGCCAGACCCTGGTCGTAAAAACGCGCTGGGTACGAAGGCCATCTGCTGGTTACTGCTTTGTGCTCAGATCCGTTGCCGGCTGCTGCAGAGAGAACTGGTCTCGGCGATTGATCTATCAAGCAAAGCTGCCAAGTCGCAAGATCCGACCGACTTCAGAGAGCTCCCCAGGCAAGTGTAACATACTGTACCTGAAGTACCCTTGGTACTGGTACAGTACCAAGGGTACTTGAGCTCATTCTTCCTTCAGAATCAATTTAGTGTGGCCCTCTTGGAACTGACAATGCGGCGTAGAGCTGTCATAATTTTATTATTTTTTCTGTCATGCCCATCATCTATTGATCATAATTCTAACCTCGCAAGCACATGGATTTCGGTGGTGAATTTCAAGAATAACGCCTTCAGGTTTCCTTCGTTGCCAACATCTCACCTCTTTGTGTAAATGTAAATACAAGCGGTTCTTCGGTAACTGGAAGATGTTTTCCTTCATGCGGAGCATTAGTTTTGAAGCATGATAGTCCTTCCAAATCACACAAGTACTGTACCCATGCTTCGCGTGGAGCTCAATTTTCCGATCTCATGTCGAAATTTTATCTTTTCAAAAGCAGCAGGCTCATCGGATGTTGAGCTTCACTAAACAGGACAGTGGCCTCAATTCATCCTCTATTTACAGAATAAATAGGCATCCAACTCAATAATGACAGGGTCCTAGTCATAAATCAGTTCAAATAAACACGTGCTTCAACCGACACCAAGCAAGAAGTGAAGCCAGCTGTTTTGCGGCATTTAGTTTCGATAGCAGACAAAACTTTTATCGAAAGATGCGCTGTCCTTTTTGTTCGTGGAAGCATCGGTCTGTTCTAGCAGTTTCATCACTAAAAAACGATGTTGCTGCCGCAATACCGACATTCTGTTGATAATTCTGTCGGTTTATCGCTGCAGCAGCCAATCTTGAGTTGCCGACCTTTCTGTGTGAAGAGGTCTTTTTGGTATGAAATACGTCTCTCAATGCAAAGGCCCAACTCCGAGCCTTTTATCACCTCGGCGACGCACTTCTGATTCTTGGAATTGCAACATGATGCTCAAGAAGCTCTGTTCTCGACAACTCCAAAGTGAAAGAATGGTGAGAGCTAGGAAGAAGAACCACAGCGTGCTTATTGGGTCAACCGGAATCCTTTTTCTTGTTCTTTGCTGGAATTTCAAACCGCCTTCGCAAAGGCCGAACAATTTGCGAAACAACTTGCATACAACTGAGCAACGAGAGCGACACATAAAGGTCATTGAAGTCGAGTCTGCCAAGGATGCTCTCCCCGAAGTAGCAAATGACCGAGATCATTCACAAGAGCAACATTCGGATCCTTCTCCGACAACAGGTACTGCAACTGACGTGGATTTAGACAACAGGCAGTCGGGATATGCCCTACCCCGTATAAATGGAGGGCTCGTTTTCAACGTTCCGGCCTCCTGGAATAGACTCCATGCTCCTTGGTTCCAACCCGACGCCGTTAAGTTGTTGACGCCCAAGGAATCAAACCACAGATACTTATATGCAGCAACTAGAATCAGCACTAGTGACGGAATCGGACACTCTATGGGTGTGGTTAATCGCGATTTCAATTTTGCGATTAGTCTCAAGCTAACGTATACACATCGTCTTGGAACATACTCATCGCTGACATTCGAAGACAGAAATGCAGTGGAGGCCTTCTTCGGGTGGGGCTCTGGGGAAGTGCCGAGAACAAAAATCCAGCAAGAAGGGTGCGTTCCGCAGGGGGGTTTTTGGCCGGAACCCAACCAGACGACAGCGTGTCATACCTGTGAACGTCCTAGGATTAGCGGCGCACTACGAATCCAAAATTTGGTAGAGATACCGGCAGACATGAGGTCTAATTGTCTCCACCCAGACGATCCTTGCCAGTCATATCGAAAACGATTTTTAAACGAACATCAGGAATCCCATACAATCTTCCAAGCCTCGAGAAAAGCCTGCAGCCCCCCAGCAACGGATAATAACTTCTTGGTATCCAAAAGTCTGTTTTTCCACAAATACTGGGATCAACATGGCCTTAGGCCTTGGCATCCCCGGAATCTTACAACGCAAGCTGGAGAGCGACCAATTCGATACAATCCGGAGGAACTCAATGTTGCTATTCACATACGGAGAGGTGACTTCCTAATCCCAGAAACACAAGCAAAGCGGGGTATCACGAAAGATGAAGTATTCGCTAAAGTTCTCATTAACGCGCTTTCTGTTGTGCAAAAGGAAGGGGGTGTATTCTCAGAAATGCCTATAGTGGTGCACATATACAGTGAAGGAAGGCTCCAGAAGGGCAGCGTCCTGTCAATACACATGATCGAACTGCAAGATAACTTGTACTACGATAGCAGCGGGACTCCGAGAAACGCAGTCTGGTGGAAAAGTCTGATCTTGAAAACACTATCACGCTCCAACGCGATTGAACTTGAGTCACTCAAAGAACGGCTTACAGTATTATTTCACATCAGCGAAGACACCTTGCTCTGCCTCCACGAAATGGTGTCTGCAGATATCTTCATCGGAAGCAAGAGTGGACTTAGCAACGCATTGGTGTGGTCACTGTCTCGAGGAGTTGTACTCATTCCATATGCCCCAACGATTAACATCGAGAAAGGCAAAAAAGGTAACGTGTGTTGCTCCATTCCATTTGCAAATGAGGATGGCATTTTCGATACAAAGCAATTCTCGATGTACTGGAACGCATATTCTCAAGCAAACTCCGAGAGCGCCTCAGAGGCCTTTGCTACGTAAATATTTGGGTGATCATTTCAGCGGTTTTCCGTCGTAGCAGGTCTGTATCTTGATATAAGCACTCGAGCGGACGATTGCCACAACTGTGAAAGAATTGATGGCAAGGTGTTGAGATTCGTCCATATATCGCTGTGACTGCAATGAACGAACGCGGATTGCAAAGTCCTCGTACTCTCAAAGCCTGGCATCCGAAATGAGGAGTGGTCGTTGGCACGCAGAAAAGTATGTAAGCAACTAAGTTTCGTGATCACTCTCTGAGTCTGAGTTGTCTCCGTCTATGTCCTCGCTAGTGGCGCTTGCATGTATCGTGCTTCCTTCAGAACGCAAAGCTTGTTTTTGCCGTGCGGACCGCTTCAATATTGCTGCAGTAGACTTCGGTTGACAGTGGCGAACAAAGCGGTCACGGACCGCTTCGCTTTCGACAGCAAGATCCACCACTCGCAGCGTGCCTTGCGCGCCACCGTAGGCGACCACAAATGGTGAAGCATTCGTTTCATACTCTGGCAGAGGACACAGAGATAGAGCGAATAAAGCCCCAGCCTTGGACGGTCTCTCATAAACGAGTTCACCCGATTTCCCATGATTCACCCCGGAAACATCCCAAACCTTCACCATCTTGTCTACACCTCCCGTCACCAAGAGACCTGGAATATCTTGGGAAATCGATAGTGCCGTCGCCGCCCCTTGATGTGCTTGCCACCTTGCTAGATGCTTATCTTGCCCTGACTTTCGTGTATCGAAAACAGTAGTATATCCGTCCTCAGTGGTAACAAACACCATGCTGTTCGTGGTTCCCTCTCCCCACTGAACTCTCTCGACGTCCGCTTCTACTTTCCAGTTTCTGTTTTTGTTACTGTCGCGGATGTCTACCAAGTGTACCGTTTTGTCGAATGAGCCGGAAAGCAACAGCTCTAACTTCGTCGGGTGAAATGCCACAGATTGCACTTTGTCCTTGTGATGATCAAGAGTACTAGCACAATGGGCGGATTCAATGTCCCAGATTTTCACTGTGAAATCTGCCGACCCACTGACGAGGTACTCTTTTTGCACATTATTCCAAGATAGACACATGACGGCATCTTTGTGAGAATCTTCTTTCAGTCGCAATCTGGGCTTTTTCTTCTTCTGGTTTCGACCCGTGCTTCCTTTACTCGATGAGCTGTCCAAGTACTTGTCATAACCTCCCAAAGATATAACAGGTTCTAAATCATTGACTCGATCGACATCCCAGATATCAATCCCAGGTGTGAACATACCCACGGCAACGAGGTTCAGAGATTCGCCATCAATTGCAAGGTTCGTATACGCAGTGCACAATGGCAAAACCGGGAGCACAAGGTCATGATGAACGTAAGTGTGCGGCAAGTATGCACCTTCCTCTGAATCGGAATCATCAGGGTCGTCGTCGAACAAATGCACTTCAAGAGTCGACGCATCATCTCCCGACTTGGCGGCAATGATGAGTGCATCTGTAGGGCGGATAACCAAATCCTCCATTTCTTCTTCATCAAATATTTCCTTGGCTGCGGGGTCGGATGTCAGGTACGGGTCGTCTTCGTTCTTCTTGTGAAAAGAAAGAGTATCCAAATCATTTGCTAGTATTGACGCAATATCCACTTCCGAATCATCGTCGTCCACTTCCATATCGCTACTTGGCTGGGGGCCTGATTTCTGTTCTCCATTACCACGCCCGGATTCGGTGACAGCCATGTCGTCATCACGCTGAACACCCTCAGGAAGCTTGGCTTCAGCGACTCCCCGAGGAATCCATGAAAGCGAAGAGTACATTGTGCAATCTAGCAGTGTCGCCCTAACTTCGCTCCCAACTAAGCTTTGAAGTTCCCTACACAAAAGTGGAAGCGCGCTGGAACCGCAATGAAGGCGTATATGTGAGAGCTGTATAACTTCTCTATGTACGCCACCGCCGTCGGAATACGACTTTAGATAGAGATGAGCAGGAAAATTATCGCAAAAATCATGAAATGATAGTTTTCACGTTACGCTGCTCACTTCACATTGAATCTACTGTACCCTTCTGCCTTGGGTACCGCTGAAGTGGTCGTTGCTGCAGCAGGCCTTGCACCGTATGCGCGATACCGATTAAGCCTTTTAATTTGTTAAAAGCACACCCTATCTGTTCTCCTCCGCGGATGGCATGAAACAGATCGAAAACATTTTGCCATAGGCTTTTATTTGTGTGAATGGGAGCCCATGATGCGGACAACAACCTCTCGGCTGCCGTGCGTTCCGTTATCCATAAGGTTGCAGCCAGCGGCGCCGAGAATGGCCCTAGGGAGATCCCTCTGTGCAAAGTGTACGTCACAGATATTAATCCGGAAGATGCAAGCAATCTGCTTAGGATTCTCTCCAGGATTCTGCCACTCAGCGACGGATTATCTCATCTCAAGCGAATTCGCCGCGTCCCTTGCATTTCAACCCCGAAGGGCTTCACCTTGGAGGTAGTGCTGTGTCGAGAGGAAACGTGGCTACATCGCGGCCAACATACAACAAAAGAGTTGAGTCGGTTTCAATACGAGGCAAGGTTGGCCACTGTACCAGCCGCTGCTCCCCTCAGCAAAGACGAATTGAAAAAGTGGGGAGAGTACTGGCCGTTGATATACAAACCAGGAAGAGAGCAACACACTCCACTCACTCCTATAGAGTTACGCCGCATGTTCATACACGCAAACTACGTTCATGATAAATCCAAGGAGGTAGCACAGGGAAATTCCCCTGTCGTGGCCACCCTTGTCCATCCAGAATCTAATGCGATTGTAGCGGAAAGTGCCGATTCGTCGCAAAGAGCAACGAATACTAAGGGCGACAAGACAATCCCCACAAATTCTTGCCTTGCTCACGCAGTGATCAATTGCGTCTCCGCTTTCGCAGTCCCGCATTCAGAATCAGCAAGACATAGAAAGCGCGGACTTGCTATTTCCGAATCAAGATACGAAGAAACTGGTGAGAAGAAAAGTCCCTTACCCGTTGACCAGTACCTCTGCACCGGTCTGGACTGTTATGTGTCGAGGGAGCCATGTGTGATGTGCACCATGGCACTTGTTCACTCCCGAATTCGCAGGATAATTTTTGTCGCACACAACAACGACCAACTAGGTGGTCTTTCTGAAGCAAAAGTACATTGCGAAGTAGCTCTTAACCATCGATGCGAGGCGTACTTCCTTCCTGTCCTAGCTGTTCATTGTGACAAATGATGAAGCATATCGAGAACCTGCAAGGCAAGACAAGGCTGTGCTCTAGAGACAGGAATATTTCTGTACACAGGCCTGTCCATCGATAAGCATTTTTGGTGCTAAATTGATCGCGTTTAGCGTGCTGCACCTCGCCATTTCAATTGTTAGTTCTCAGTACTCCTCGGGGATTGGCCACTCGACCTTTTCTCCACGCCTCCTAGCTGCCCGATCCTCCTTAATAGCTGCCAAAGCCCTCCTGATCTCTGGTTCTGTGACTTGTTTCATTGATGAACCCACGTTTAGCTCCCTTTCTTCGTCTACCTCACCAAGAAGCATGACGTTCTCTCCCCGAATGACGAAAATTCCGATCGGGACATCGGCGTAAGAGTCCTCAACTGTAAGTCGCTCCACCGTATTGTCCAGAATCAGGTTTGCGTATTGATCGAAAGATCGTAGCCAGCCAAAGAAGTTTCGCCCATCTCGCAGACATACGAGGACAAGTTTGTCAAGCTGTTCGTACAAACTCGCCGCCCCAGGAAGCTTAATGGCTCCGGATCCGGATTGCGTAGTTTCCTCAGAACGCCCAGAAGGGCCACGTCCGCCTCGTGAAGTCATGTCACACCGCAGCACTGAATGTGAACAACCGTTCAATTCTTTGTAGATGTGTGCGGAGAGTTTGCGAGTGTAGTCAGTTGATCTCCTTTTTCGCAAATACGGTACAATCTCAAAATGCAATGCTGTCGAGGAGTCTGGGTCGGAGAAAAAACAAATTGAAAAAATTGCAACACCGATGTCACTGCAGAACAGTACCATGGCCACAGTAACCGCAGGCCCTCTGTGTCTATTGGAACTTTGTCCTCATATGAGGACATTATTCGACCTATTTTATTCTTGACTTACGCTTCCTCGACAAGAACGAAAAAGATACTCCCGTCACTGCACTTGACTTCTGACTTGGGGACAGAAAAAACTGTGTGAGAATTGCATGTTCTTCCTGGTCGTTTTTAGATATGTCTGGAAAAGAAGCTTTTTTAAACCATCTGAAAACCGCATGTAAAATAACTTCGACATCAAAAACGCCAGTTCAAAAAGGAAACTATGCTCTCAATCTGCGTTACTTTCTTAATCTTTCTGGGTATTCAAAGCTGCTATCCGGTGTTCTGCAAGATGTTATTGCCGAAAACAAGTGCGTTAAGGAAATAGTGTCCAAGATATACGTTTAAATGTTCAATTTAATTTATATATTTTTGCTGTCCTCATATGAGAACAAGCCCTGGTCGGATAGACACTAGTGTCTATTTGACATGGAGTTTGCCTCATATGAGGTCAGCCATGCCTCATGTGAGGCCGCCTTTTTTTGCAAAAATATATACATTAAATCGAAACTTTATAAAGTTAGTTTGGACACCATTTCTTTAACGTATATGCCTTCGGCAATAACATCTTGCAAAATATTGGGATAGCATTTGTGAATACCGTACCCAGAAATACTAAGAATCTAGTGAAGCTTCAATCTTCGGTTGATACTTTAAACAGGCCTTTTGCTTTCGAAGATATCAACACATAACGTTTTGAGGTTGTTCAAAAAAGCTTCTTTTTTAGGCATTCTAAAAATGGCTGGAAAAGACGTGCAAACCTCACCAAACTCCACCCTTCCGCAACGCAGAAGTCAACTGCGGTGGCCAGAGTATCTTTTTCCTTCACGTTGAGCACGCTCAAGTCGAGAAAAAATAAGTTGAAAAATGACCTCATATGAGGCCACATGTCCAATAGACACTAGAGAAGCAACCCCTTCCTTCACGCTTGGGCTGGAAAATGTGAAGTACAGTAGGTATCACTTCCTCACACGTGAGGAGTAATCTGCAGTTGTGGGACACAAACTCTTTATATGCCTGGGGAAGCAGAGAAGCAAACCTCTGCATAGCAGCACTGTGACGGAACGCATGCGGTCCATAATGGGATGATAAGCCTGCTGTTTTAAACGAAGTTTGCAATGCACGCTCACACATGGCGTGCTTATCTTTGTATAACAAGCTACTCATCATATATGGGGACATTGGCTTTTCTTCGGGGCGAGCTCTCCGAGGCTGTTCCTTCTTTGTACGAATGGAGATAAACAGGTGTGACAGTTTCTGGGTCCTTTCCTGTAGCACCTGGTGCCACGTTAACGGGACGGGGGTATGGAATTTTGTAGTGAATTCCCGTCTCTATTCTAGTCTCAAACTCGTGAACCTTAAAATCAATTTCTTTTGAATCGGTGAGGAATTTGTTCTTTCTCACAAGAGTTCGCACCTCATCCCTGATATATTGCCTCTCGCTGGACCGCTCCCCTGATAAAGACGTAATTTGACAATGGTGAGAAAGATAGCGCATTACGTCAGACTACACGGATGAAAACATGAACTAGTAGACTCCTAGTATGCGCAATTTCTTTAGTTGCTCATGGGGGCAACTTGAAACACTTACAGGTTCGGGATAAGCGAAGTACATCACGGTACATGGACAGGATCTTCGCGCGGTGACTCACAACTTTTCCTGACATGATGTGTATATTCAAGTACTACACGTCTTGTGGCTTTCTAGAATCTTTCCACGAGATAGGGAGCCCCACTTTCACTAACAGTGAAATTCGAGGCAATCCGCGTGAATCTCCGGAAGACGATGCGAAGATACCCAACTCGCTATCCCTTTCTGATTCCAAACGTGGACAAACGATAAATACAGCTTTTCTCGATTCTGGTGGCAAACGCTGACGAAGTTGTGCTGTGTTGCTTATTCTTGAGCGATGGGCGTGGTTGTGGCGACTCCCCCAACAACAGAGGTGTCCATGAACCGATTGAGTCACATGACAATTGCGGTCGCCGCTAAAAAATTAGTCGAGGTAGAATTTTGTCATACCGTAGTTTTGCGGAATTCTTCATACAAATGAATGCGCCTCTCGACCAGCGACAAAATACCCTTGGGTACTGCACGTAGTTCTGTACCAATCAATGGCAACACTTCGGCTATCTTCATAATTCTGGTAAGGAATCGTGGTCGCCTGCACAACACCTCTCGACCTGCACTGCATCTGGGATACGACTTTATGCTGTACAAGTGCCGAAGCATTCCAGTTCAATGTAGTGTGTACACATGGGTTGGGGCTTGCAATGTGGCATTAGGGGTAGAAAACATACCTCGGTTTACGTCACAATTAGCAACTGCGTTGTTTGCTAGATTCGCTCAGAGACTGTTTTAGGTTGGGATATACTCCATCCCGGGAGAACTACTCTTCCCACTGAAAACTTGAGCTGAATGATGGCAGTGGTGAGGCGCAACATGAGCTTACTTCTGATATCTCTGCTGCGAGGCGCAGCGCGGAGAAAACTTGCACATTTCCCGAAACCGGGAAAGCTAGCCGTATACCTCAGCCTGTTTTGACTGACGCGCATTTTCACAACTACGGGGTCGGCACAATAAGTCTCCTCTTAGGGATGATGTAAGAAAAACGTCGGTTCCAAAGTTCCGGCATTCCATGATACGCATCCTAGGGTGGTCCCATGGCTGATCTCACAGGCCTGTCAATCCTGTCATTGCGGTTTGTCCTTGGCTTCCAGGATAGCAATATCTGCCTCCGTTTGCTTCAAGTCAGCCTCAATATCTTGCCGTTCAGCGTCTGTGTCGCTTGTGCGGCCTTGTGAGTTTATATCAACCAGCTTCCTCTCAAGTTCAATCCTGTAGACGCACAGTTCCTCAAGTTCAGAGACGAGATGCGGTTCTTCCTGTTTGACAGAGTCGAAAACTCGAAGTGTGGGCATGCCTTCAGACCCTGCTTGCGGAACAGCACCGGCTAACCCGACAGGGGCATTGTTTGCACCAAGCGCTGCAGGTGTCTGGCTTGCTACGATGGCTGGGTTGCCACCGACTCCAGAAATTGCACCGTCTTTTGGATGATTTAAGGTTTCGTCCATGCCCTGAATGATGGTTTTGTTCTCCTCTAGCTCTTCTCGTCTTCTCTTTCCATCAGCCTCCAGTCGGTCCACGTACCAGTGCAAACTTTTGTACGACACAAAAAACAAAAGTAGTGCACCAGCATATTTGTATGCAAACTTCCTCCACTTCAACGGGTCATTTGTCATTGGATCCTCAAGGCCGAGTGAGGTTGAAGAAACATCTGGTACGTCCGTAAAGGCTTTCTCTGTCGAAGAGGCGGCAGTCTTTTCTGCACCATTTTTCTTTGCTGTACTTGCTTGAGGAGTCTCAACGACAGCACCACTCGTTCCCTTTTTCGTGGTGGCCGCGCTCGCATCAGTTGTGGCTGATTGTCCAGCTCTTTGTCCTTTTGGGTGGATTGCTGGTTGCTCTGCTTTTTCCGCTGTATTCGCGCTGAATGGTCTTCGAAGTTGACCTGCTGCTCGTGACTGAGATACAGCTACGCGCGAGGTGCGAGACCGTGCAATAGCTCGTGCCGCTACTCGTAATACGCCTCCCGCCTCCATAACTTCTCGCCCGCAGTTCTACTGCCACAGTCTCTGAGAAACAGTTAATTCTCTTCCTTCTGTTGGCTTTGATCACCGTCAAACAGCATATCCCGGAAACGCTCGATCTGAATTGACGTCGGGTATGCCACCACCAAAGGCTATTCCACTTCGTTCTGGAGGTTTTCTCCGTTTCAAGAATTCCTGATCTAAAGAATGGTGTTCCTGCGTGAAATTGCTCCTCGCAGTAGACGAACAAAGAATTGCCCAACTAAACGCGTAGGATCAAATGCTGGGATAGACGAGAGTGTCGTCAGGTGAGGAAGATCTGGGCTTGAATGCACGCGTGAATCGATCGCGCTCCGTGACGACCCAAAAATCTACTAAATTAATTTCCATGAGTAACCGTACTGTAGTATCTGAGATCTTGGCCCTTGCAGCATGAGGCTCACACCTTTCGGCCGGACCTCCAAAAGCATCACAATCTTCATCACCACGACGTCCGAACACATCTTTCCGCAGACTGGCGTGTCAGCCTTCAGAATAAAGACAATTCTTCTGTTTCTGGAAGAGTTTCATCTCATGTGTCGAGAAGTGTTCGAACATTGGGCCCCTTGTACCTTTGATCACGCAACGAAAATTTCCACGCCGCTTCCCATCATCACGGTTCTTGATTTATCGCTTCCCATAAGTCATTCCTCTCACATTTATTATCTAAATTGTAGGAACAAGTGTCAGCCCTACTCAGCAATGTAACATTTGCCAGCCTTCACTTGAGTATGAAAACATGCGGTAAAGAAGAATTAATAGGTTCTTCACATTACGTGCTACAATACGATCACAATACATTAAGAATGCGATCGGACGTTCCCACAGATTTACAGATTTAATCTTCAATCCACGGAGAGCTCTATTACGTACGTCAGGAGCTGTTCCAAAACGTTCTTGCTTTCATTTCAATTAAAGTCGAACTGGTGCTTTCGCCTGATCACTTTCTTGTTTTAAGTCTCTGAAACTCTCCCTGCTACTTGGACAGAAGCCGTTGTCTGACTTTTGTCCGCAATAGATAGATGTCACAACATTCATTTACAACAACTGCTGTTGCATCCGGATCTAACGTCAAAAATTAAGAACAGCACGTGTGTATGAGAGAGCCACATAGACGGATTGGGCGACAAAGGATATGATACTGTACCAAAAACCAAAAGTACATATGCCCACAGGCTACCTACCTTCGCAAGGTGTCAAAATGAATGGCTGCAGAGCCAAACAGCTTCGCATGTTGGTACAGTACTGAAGCTAAAGAACCTGGAGTGGCTTAGTAGAGGACACGGTTTGCAAAGAACAGCCCAGATGCTTTGGAATTTGGTTGATGAACGATGACATAACTTTATTCCGTTGATAAAATCCAACCATAAAACGTTCCTTGGATCCAAAAATTGACAACATTCAGTCTCCACATGCCTGACTTCTGCGCAAGAATCATCTTAATACCAAGGAACTACTCAGGCTCTCTACAGTGGAGTTTGTCCTAAAGGAAATGTTGAGAGATGCTTTGACTCCCGCTATGACAGAAAAGTTGCTTGTATTAATCCGCAAGGCTTGCAACAAGCACTTATATGCCACCTTCTTATGGGCATCTCTCTAACGTATTCCATAAACTGATTCGTAATGAAAGACATGCAGGATATATATTGTATATGTCTACGAATGCACAGGGGAGTTCTACTTCTGTAGTCTTAATACATCGTGGGCTGATGGAAACGATCTGAGTGAAATTTCTGGGACCACTGAGTGATTCTGTTGGCGGCCCAAAGTCTGAAATACACCGTTAGTGCTCCAAGTATTCGTTGCACCAGTCCGTTAGGGCTCTACTCACTGTTACGCTCTGTGCTTTCGGTGCAACTTCGAGTCGTGTTACATTCATGGTAACTTTCTACTCTATAGTCGGTACTCTCTCTCTATTTCCAAACGGCCTTTTTCTTCGTGCGGCCTTTACGTTCTTGACATTGCCTGAGGTTTAAAGCATACACTTCCCCTCTGCGGAGAGTTCACGAGCTTGTGCTTCCAAACTTGTCTAGAACTTAAATGTATGATATAGCTGCCATGGTAACAGCACAAGACGTGAGACAATTTCTCCCAGTCTGGAATCGACGAAAACGAGAGCTCTCTAGAACAGCGCTCTCTGTGAATACTGTGTATGGTAGTTCAGCATCGTTTTGTGACTAGAGGAAAGTAATCCTGATTAACGATTTTGATGCACGAGCAATGAAAATCCTACCTCGATATCCGCGGTAAGCGCAGAGTGGTTCAACAGTCGGGCAACCTTACCGTACTGAGAGTTGCGCCAGACTGTATGTAGTACAAGTCAGCTCTACTGCTTGGCTTTACTGTACAGTACCCTTCTCACTGGCTCAATGTGGGACGCATAAGAAGTTATGATAAATATGCGAATGCAGTGCGTATTGGAAGAAAATTCCCTTTATTTGGACGGGAGAACTGGTCTCCAAAGTGTGCCAGGGTCAAAGTGGGACGACGAGAAATTTCATGTCTTGCACGCTTCATCTGTAATGGGAGAGACCCAACAAAGCCGACGCTGCCGTGTGCTTGCGGGTCCTCAACAACTCGCCTTCCTCAACCTGCATCCACTGTTTTCGGGCTCTTGGCCATTGCGAAATTGGCAAGTCGTCGCAAACTATGTCTTCGAGAGGCGACACCGCAGACTGCGCTTTCAGACGTTTCTGAGAGTCAATATTTTTTTTGTTTGCAGTATCATTCTCTACATTAAACTCCTGAATGTGATAAACGTTGGGTACGGGCGCTTTTGGAGGATTCCGCCCCTCCAAACGAGCACGAACGGACTGCAAATTGCCAACCGTCGCTGCGTTTCCTGTTGCGAGGAATTTTCTATTAGATTTCTTAGGTGTGGGGTTCTTTGACAGGCATATATTCTTTCTCAGAATGTTGCGCAACACATAATCATTATTCGGAGCGACGGAAACCTCTGCAAAAGCATGAGTAGAAAACTGACCGTTTGTAAGAGCATGTGAATATGTTTCATCAAACGAATATATTTAATTCGTTGCGAAATAGTTTAGCAAAATCATATGCGCGAAACTATGCGGCGCGGCGGGCGGATTATAATTTTGGTGTCACAATTTGAGCCTTGTCACAGATTGAGCCTGTGAGAAGGGTATAGCGAGAGAACTCTCCTTGAGACTGACTTCGGACTGATTATGCAAGCCTTGTCAATTATCTCTCGAGAGGTAGTATCTAGGCGGCGGAGCGTAGCATTGTTTCCAGGAGAGATGAACCTTG